CTATTCCCCTAATAAAGGCTTGTTGTGGCCTGGTCTGGTCTTGGTCTTCGGCCCTTTTACCTGACATAAATCACTGTGAATAATTAGTTCATGACTACAGCAAAGATAATCCAACTAAAGTTAAAAATGCATTGGTACCATTTAACATCCACTAGGATGCCTTTTAAAAACCACAAATAAATTGGTGACGGTATGAAGAAAATGGAACTCTTGTACATCACTGGGAGAATATAAAATAGTGTAGCCATTGTGGAAACCTGGCAGTGTCCCAAAAGGTTAAAGAGAATTACCATATGACCCAGCAATCTACCCTTAGGAATGTACCCAAAATAATGTAAAGTATATGTTCAAACAAACAACTTGTGCACAAATGTTCACAGCAGCTAAAAGATGAGAATCTGTAAGACCCAGGTGAGACTTAGCACAAGTAACGCCATCTTGTTACAGGCCCTCCAACTTGTCCCTGTGGGTTTCGGGTTCACTAAAGGACACAGAGTTTCTGGAATGTACTTGTTTATCTGTTAAGACACCCTGGAATGTACCATTGTTTCTGTGTAAAGAACATCCTGTTAGATAAGTAAAGAACATCTGCAAACTCCCCAAACCGTCCCCTAACCGCAAAAATTCCGCTTCTGTAGTTCTGCTTGCTAAGCTCCCCTGCACCCCCTATAAAACCTTCCAACCCCCTGAGCTCGGGGCCTCTCTGAGCTTGTTTGTTTGGAGGGTGCCGTCTGGCCAGACTAATAAAGGTCTGTTTTTTTTACTATCTCAATCTGTCCGGTGTGTTTCCTCCTGGGTGATCCTCACTGCAGTCAGCTCCTCGGAGCGTTTGGTAAGGCCCTCAGTCTTACAAATCCACATGCCCACTTAAATAAATAAAATGTATATCCATTTAATGGAATATTATTCAGCCAAAAAAACGATTAGTAATGATACATACTATAACAAGGATGAACCTTAAAAGCAAGCTAAATAAAGCCAGATACAAAAGGTTATATATGGATCCAATTTTATGAAATAACAAAAATAGATCCATAGGGAAGAAACAGTAGTGGTTATTAGGAGCTGAGGAGTGGTGGGAATGGGGACTGATTGTATAAATGGGTACAGACTTTCATTTTGAGGTCATGAAAATGTTTTGGAACTACATAGTTGGACAACATTGTGAATATACTAAATGTAATTGAATAGTGCACGATAAAATGGTTAACCATATGTGAATTTTATCTCAAAAAATGCTCTAGTATTATCTCAGAATGCAGTATTGTTATTCTGAAATTAGTGCTTTAAAAAAAAAATCACCCAAATTAATACACTTCTAATTACTCCCCCACCAGTACTGGGGATAGAACCAGGGCCTAGTGTAGTCCATGTTTAGGCAGGCACTCTAATGCTGAGCTAAATCCCTAGCCTTTTAAAAAATTTATTTCGGGGCCAGGGATTTAGCTCAGTGGTTCTGCCACCTGCCTCGAAAGTGCAAGGTCCTGAGTTCGATCCCCAGTACCAAAAAAACGAAATTATTTTGACAAGGTCTTGCTAAGTGTTGGGAGCAATGCTACCTAATTCTAGGGAAAAATCATTTGAGTAGGCCTAGTTCTGCCTACAGGCCAGCTATGACATTCCAGACATAATTTCATTTTGGCCTCGGGTCACAACTGAGAACTCAGTGATCCCCGGATGCTGTAATGCTCCAGGACAAGGCCACACCTCCGGGAGATGCCAGGGAGGAACCAAATCTTCATCTGCATAGTTCCTCATTGTTCTTAGATTTCCACTCCCCCCCTGTCTTTTGTTACACCTTGTTTATCCCAGTATGAAGTACTGAACTCTGCATTTCACTTGTTACATCTGTTTCCCCACGTACTGAATAAAAGGTGCTGCAAGCTAGGGGACTTTGTCTTTGCTGCCCTGAGCAGCACTGATCAGACCCAAAGCTCAGCTCCTTCTCAGTCTCATTTGTCTACCTTTCCTGTAATTCACCGTGTGCTGCCGTGGCTCACAGACTAGAACTTGCTGCAGAGGTTCTGGTAACGTCCCCTTCCCCTGTTCCCTACAGCTAAATTGCCCAGGCTGGCCCAGCTTGCAATTCTCTTGCCTCAGGCTACAGAGTAGCTGAGATTAGATTTTTACCACCATACCTGTCAACACCTTCAGTATCAAAATTGACACATCCTTTTTCTGTAAAGTGGGACCATAAAACCTAATGCTTATTAGTCAAAGGTCTTAAAATTGTTTCCTCCTCCCAAATAAAGTCTAGGTAGTTTTTTTTTTTTTTTGAGACAGGGTCACTTTTTTTTTTTGTTCTTTTATTGGTACATTTTAGGTATACAATTCATTTACATTTATCATTGGGTGCTTGTACCTGTACATGATGTATCTTGGTTATTTTTTTCCCCATTACCTGGGTGCCCTTCAACCCCTCCACCCTTCCCTATTTACATAGATTTCATTTCCATTTTTTTTTTCTTTTCTCAATTTTTCCTTTCCCTCTTTTCCTTTCCCCTTCTCCTCCCTTCACTCCTTGTCTTTGGACCTTTTTTCCTATTTCAAATTATCAATTATTCATTTTAATCATTTTAACCCTTGTTTACACTATCAGTTTCTCACACCAGAGAAATTATTTGGTATTTACTCGTGTGTCCTATTTATTTCACTTAAGAGTGTGGCCTTGATATATACCCATTTAGCTATAAATGACTAGTTTCTCATTCTTTATGGCTGAGTAGTACTCCATTTTATAAAAAAACCACATCTTCTTTACCCAGTTTCCAGTTGATGGGCACTTAGGCTGCTTCCAAGCTTTAGCTATTACAAACTGTGCTGCTATGAACATGGGTGCACATATTTCACTGTGGTATGATTCTTTTCATTCTTTGGGGAAGATCCCCAGCAGGGGAATAGCTGGGTCAAATGGGACCTCTAGTCCTAGTTCTCTGAGGTATCTCCATACTGACTTCCACAGTGGTTACACCAGTCTGCACTCCCACTAACAATGGAGAAGGGTTCCTTTCTTCCCATAACCCTGCCAGCATTTATTTGTTGATTTCTTGATAGCAGCCATTCTTTCTGGGGTGAGGTGGAATCTCAATGTTGTTTTCACCTGCATCTCTGGAATGACAAGTGATGTTGGACATTTTCTCATATATTTGTCTGAGAAATGAGACAGGGTCACTTTGTAGTGCAGGCTGGCCTTGAACTCTTGGCAATCCTCCTGCATCAGCCTCCCAAGTGCTGGGATTACAGGCATGTGCCACCATGCCCAGCTCTAGGGAGTGTTTGGAGTGCCACTTTAAAATATTAAAGTTTTCAAAACATGTAAGTGTTTTTGAATTGTATTTAGAAAGTGTTGGTTATATTTGAAGTATTTTTCCTTAATGAACTGTCGTGTGGGTCATGTAATAAACTAACAGTGCAAACATCTCATTGCATATGGATTTTGGATTTGTCTCAATCAAATTAGTTTGTAGGAAATCTTTGTCTAGAGAATATAAGATCTACAAATGTCAGTTTCCACCAGGGAGATCTTCCCACAATTGTGTCTGACCTTTTCTCCTTTGTATTTAATGTTCCTCAGAGACCTATCTTTAGTATGAAACCAATACATTATGATTCGATTGTATTTTATTACTCTCAAAAACCATTCACCATTCAGTGAAACTGTTAGAAAGTTGAAATAACTGATCTTAGTACTCACAATTTTTATTTTCTTGAGACAGGGTCTCACTACGTAGTGCAGGCTGGCCTTGAGCTCACTACGTAGCCCAGGCTGGCCTCAAATTTTCAATGATCCTCCTGCCTCAGCTTCCCAAGTACTGGGATTACAGGTGTGCACCACTATGCCTGGCAGTACTCACAATTTTAAAAGCAACACACATTGTAGCCAGAAATGATTTGTCTGCTAATGAATTATGAACTATCAGTGTACTTGTCTGCTGTAGTGGCAACTACAAGAATTCATTTTAACAAAATAACATGTTCTAAATACTCTTAGTAAATATTTTTGAAATGTTAATTCCTATAGCAAGAACCTGTGACATAAAATGTGTTTTACCATAGAATGTTGTACTTCCCATGTTTATTAAAGGGATTAAAAATTCCAAATGTGAGAAAAATTAAGTCACAAAGATAGCTTTCAACATTTCTGAGCAACACGTTTTCCTAAGTCATGAGGATAAGGGAATTTTGGTATGCTATTAATGTAATTTTCTCAATGTTCCCTATCTTTGGACTCATCATTTTAAAATATTGGAGATTTTACTACAGTATATAGCACTTCAAAATAACATTCCATTATCCCACTATCCTGAAATATCTGGATCTAATCAAGAAATACCAAATTTAAGGACTTAGGTTGTTTTGTTATTTTTTTTTTGGTACTGGGAATCGAACTCTGGGACTTGTGCTTGCCAGGCAGACGCTGTGTCACTGAGCTACATTCTTGGCCCCCAAATTTAAGGACTTAACAACATGGAATGTTTTATAAGTGCTTAGAGTTTTTCTGACCAAAGTATAATCCAGCCAGCCATGATGTTAATACAGAAGCTGTATTATGCTTTTTTCATGGGCATGGGTAATCATAATCATGCTACAATTTTTTACTTTAACTCAAAAGTTTTTGCTGAGAAACTTAGGGATTTCTTCTCAAGTTACTATATGGGTCTGTCAACATATTTGAAAGCAGACCAAACACAAATCTTAAAAAGGAAGGAGGGCTGGGATTTAGCTCAGTGGTACCCATGCCTGCCTCACAAGTACAAGGTCCTGAGATCAATCCCTGGTACAAACAAAAAAAAAAACAAAAAAAAAGAGAAGGAAGCCAGGTGTGGTAGTGCCTACTTGTAATCCCAGAACTCGGGAGGCTGAGGCAGGGGATCACCACAATTTCAGGGGCAGCCTGGGCTACACAGAGTTCAAGACCAGCCTAAACTGCACAGCAAGACCCTAACTCAAAAAAATAAAAATAAAAAAAATAAAAATAAAAGAAGGAAAAAAGTATATAGTATATTGTAAAAAGAATCAGATTCTGGTTTTAATTTATTTGCATATTTATAAACTGCTGTTGAAATGCTCTCAAAAATGGTACTTACAAAGGCACAATTTGGTAGCATCAATTTATTCATTTATAGTCTTTTCTAAATAAGATCCCAAGAAAATGGCTCTTTACTCTTTTCCTTCAAGTACTTTACTTCAAGGTTCAATATGAAGTGCTGGTAAAACCTCATTCTCAAGCTTACTAAACTAAGAGTTTAACAATACATTTGACAGCAGGATGTGAAAGTACAGACTACATTAACAAGAGAACAATTTCTTATGATATTAGCTTCAGAGATTAAAGAATTTGAAACATGGGCTTTCAAGACTCAGAGCTTTTCTTGAGGTGAGTAGGTTTTTAACACTTGAGCTAGAGATTAAATGCAGAATGTGAGATAACATTACAGTTATCCTAAACATCAAAAGCAACAGCTAAAAGATTAAAAGTAAAGTATAGTGGGCCAGGGATTTAGCTCAGTGGTTTTGCTGCTTGCTGCGCAAGTGCAAGGACCCGAGTTCGATCCCCGGTACCAAAAAAAGAAAAAAGTAAGGTATAGTGATGAATGAGTTAGTAAAGCTTGGTTACTCCTATGGACACTAATTAGTCCACCTCCTTCTTTCTAGTTTTCAAGAGTTTGGCTTCATATTTAAATTTTCTTTTACAACGAATTATATATACAGTGTTGTTCTGTAACTGAATTATAATGCTTATCTATAAAAAGAACAGTTTTTATTTCAGATATGCTGAATAACCCTACTTTTTTCCTATTTATAAAAACAAAATTTTGAAAATTCTTGTAACATATAAATGCTCAATGCTTCATCCGAAGTTTTCCAGCCTGTATTGGTAGACAGTTTCTCATAAAATAATGTATTGTGCTGTATCCTCTAATATCATGGTCAGATACCCTGTTGATTTATGAACATTTTTCATGGGCAAGAATAAAGATGATGAATATGTCACTGCTCACTTTGAATATTTAACTGTGCTTACATCCTAAAAATTGAGCTTCAGTATGAGTGAGAATTATATTGATGCATTACATGTACTAAATACTAAAGAATGCAAATACCTTGTTAGCTGAAAAATGAAGGAAAAGCAGTAAAAGTTGGTGATGGTATGTTTTAATCTTTTGTTAAAGCTCTGAAGTTGTAATAAATTGCTAGCCAAATTGAGGTAGAGGCAGACCCTGAAGTTATTCCTTCCTTGTGTCAGAACTTAAGTCTCCCACCTTAACTTGCGTGCAATTCCTTTCCCCTAATTATAGAAACATGATTCAATTTGAAATGTGTTATGAAAGATCATTCAAAGGGTATTTTAAAAATTCTTAATTACCAGCTTAAAAAATCACTTCTAAAAATGTACACAGTTCAGTTTTCTTCTTGCCAGTCATAAATATATTTTTCTTCCAAGTTTATGGAAAAAAGGTAGAGAAACTATACAATGCAAACATGAATAGTCTTGTGACAAAGACATCTGGAACATTACTAAGGAATGAACATAAGGTTTTTGTTTGTTTTTTTGTTTCTGGTACCGGAGATCGAACTTGGGACCTTGTGTCCGGAACCACTGAGCTAAATCCCTGGCCTACTGAACATAAGGTTTTATATTAGTGGCTAGAGGTCCTCTTTGGGGGTTAAATTTCCTACAAAGTAACTAATTTCCCTTTCAGACCTTAAATAAATGCCAGTAAGCACATCTATTTCCATTTTAAATCACATACAAGAGCTATGTGATCAGATGGATGGGAAACACTAGGTAAGGCCTGATGGGTGGTAACTTCTTCATGACTAGGTAATGGAATCACCTGTTCAACCTCTAAAGCATTTAAGTCAATGAAAATGTAATCTAGACACCCATGAAAGCCACCTACATAATTTGTGTAAGCAGGTTCACCACAAGCACTTCTCAATTTGAAGAAATGCTTGAGAGACATGTTGCATCTTTCCTCTTCCCCATTGGAAGCCCAATCTTCATGATCCTCTGGAATGTTGCCACTGATGACAAACTCATACATTCCTGTTGATGGCGTACTATTGAAGTCCCCACAAAATATAACGGGAATGTCAGGATACAGATCACATGAGACATGTTTAATGTGAGCCAAGGCTACTGCCATCTGAATGAGACGAATGTAACCACCTAGGAATATAAAAAAACATTAATATAAGTACTTTTAAAAGTTGTCCGTAAGTAAAAAAAGAAAAAAAAAAACCCAACTTCACAAACTATAGTATCTAATGAGTGACATTCAAGATATTGTATGTACTGTGTGCATTTTAACAAACTTGTCACTGTTTAAGTCACTGTGAAGACAAATACAGTAAAACCTACCTTTGGGATGCCAGTAGAGATGCGTATTAGCAACACATATCTTTTTAGAAGAGTCCTTTGTAGACTGAAGAACTGAAACCTAAAATAAAGTGCCAAGAGTTCAGTTGGTGCCAGCCAATTTCCTGAATGTTTTTACCTAATATGATGAAGTGACATTTTATTCCATTTCCTTCCCTTAATGAAGACAGCAATTATGAAATCTGATGTTTTGGGATATATGTGACTAAGATCCATTGTAACATTTTAATAACTGTCCAACATATAAAGCGCCTATAAAAATACCTTTCAGATGTCAAAGTTAAGGTTGGAGACAGTGTTTTCAAATCTGTAAGCACAGGCTTTGGAATCAGGCAGACTTATATTTGAATAATTCTCATTTATAGCAGAGAGACACGCTTCTAAGCCAGTTTCATAATGACAAAGAGACCATCTCCCCTCATGGAGGGCTGTTGTGTGCATTCAATTATATGAATTTACACAGAGGTGCACAAAACACAAAAAGATGGCAGCTACTCTTTAAATTGTTTTTGGTTTTTTTGAGTCTCGCTATGTAATCCAAGCTAGCTTTGAACTCACTATGTAGTCTAGGCTGGCCTTGAACTCGAGGAAAGCCTCTTCCCTCAGCCTCCAGAGTGCTGGGATTAAAGGCAGGTCCTTTAATAAACAGATTACTGTAAAGACCAACATGGTTATATAGGAAAGTAATTCGTATTTCTTGCTACTGGCAGCTTGACCCACCAGTGAGCAGTCACGAATGTATCACCGGTGGGTCAAGCTGGAAGGAACAGGTTAAGAGAGCCAGTGATACAAAATACTAGCTAATAGCTACGAAGTACCTCATAAAACACAACAGGCACTTAAACCTTAGGAACTTTAAATTGTGTCAGTGACTGACAAATATAGAAAAAATTAGCCACCACTATTATTCTTGTATTTAGCATGTGTCTCCCTAGATTGTAAGCACTTTAAGAAAGTTCTTGTTTGTCGTGTTGACAGTAACCTGCAGTGTGGCAGGCACAATATAGGCGCTAAATAAATGTGTTGAATTAATGAATGAAAACTGAACTTTGTACCGAGGATACAAGAATAAACATAAGTTTCAATAAAACCTGGATAGTTTCATTTCACTATCATCCCTCCACCCTGCCCTTTCAGGTCCCTAAAGATGCCTGAGTTTATGAAGAGTCAGGCGGAGCTACTTCACCTGCAAGACAGAAGATCTCTGGAGCACCTTCTCCTGCGCCAATGGGTACAAAACCAGCTTCTCTAGCAGTTCTTTGTGAAGTGGGTCGGTCTCCAAGGCTTCCTGAAAAGAAATGTCATGCCGGCCAAGGAGGCTCAACTTTGACTTCCGGTAAAAAGTGGCCAGACCTTCCTGCTGCTTGATTCGAAACACGCCCTCTAGCCCAAAGGCCTCCAGAGCAGGTACCAAGCTGTCTGAAAACACTGCGCGGTCAACCTCCTGCAAACAGATGAGGTCTGCATTGTAGCCCGTGAGTTCCTTCTGGATAAGGTTCTGGCGATAGTCGACCTCCAGGGCGTAGGGGGCACAGTATGGGTACAGCACAGTTCTGGAGAACTCAGTCTGGGCGTACGTGTCTGCCAGGATGTTGTAGGAGACCGTGCGGATGAGAGAGTCCTCTGTCACCTTCTTGGTGTAGAGATGCCGGTGGTCAAAAGTGCACGTGCCAGGCCCCGCCTCCACCTGGCACACGCTTTCCAACTCCTGGCTCGGCCCGAAGCGCTGGCCATTGCCTGGTGTGCAGTGAAGCTTGAGCCGTAGCCCGATGTCAGCGTTGGATGGGGTGTAGACGCGCTCCTGCACACCAGTCTCCGTCCAAGTGGCAGACGGCGAAGAGGGAGACAATGAAGAGGGGCCACCGCCCTCAAGCTCCGCCGCTACGGGCCTGGCTTCTTTGTACCAGCGGAAGAGACAGCCCGCTGGATCCCCAAATTCGAGGCTGAGTTTGGGGCACACCGGGAAGCCCGCCATGATGTAGCGCGGCAATTGCAGCTCGGTGAAGGCGGGCGGGTTGCGCTCCACCTTGTACTTGACATCGCCGATCTGAAGCACCGCGCCATCCTGCCAGGCATCCACATTGAGTACATCCTCAGCCACTGCCTCCTCCCGGTAATACAGCTTCACCACCGGGTCAGAGGCCGCAGCCGGCTCAGGTCCAGGCACTGAAGAGTCCGCGTCGCAGCTCGCGTTCGGCCGGTTCTTCCTGCTCTTTTTGGCCGCGGCCGCCTTTGCGTGGCCCTTGAGAGCGTTGGTCGCGATCCGGCTCAGGACCCGACCCAGCGGCTCGCTTTGATCCCGCTGCATGTTCTTGTGGCTGCCGTCTGCCAGCGCAAACGACAGGCTCAGCTTGGGCTCGGAGGGCACACAGCGCACTACGGCTCGCTCCATCGCGCCCGCCGCCCTTTCAGTCGCCGCCTCGGCCGGGCTGCACTGTTCCACCGCGGTCCGGACCCCTCGAAGCGCGGCGCGGACGCCTGAGAACCTCCACATGAACCTGGCGGCAGAGCAGCTGATAAGACCAGCGGCCAAGGAGCGGGCCAGTGTCAAGTTGACGCACGGAAGCTACAGCCGCCGGCTCCGGGAGCTATTCAGACCCTGCAACTTCCTTTCGAAGAGGAAAGGGTGCGCGATGCTCCCGCTGTGCACTTTCGCCAGCCCTCCTGCCTGCTCCTTCTTTCTACGGCCATGCCTGTCTCTAATTTCTAGCAGCTTAATTTTCACATTTAACTTGTGATAGAATGAAGAAAGAGTGAAGGAAATATAGGAGTGGCAGATGGAAATGCCAAGCCCCATAGTTTTGTTGAAAGTGCAGACTAAGGGAGAGGGAAGGCGCACCAAACCGGAAGTAGTTGGGCGGCACCACGTGCTCCGCTTGCCGGAAGTGGCGTTTGGTCGCTCTTGCCTCAACTGCCCGCCTTCTCCTGTCGCCGCCGGGGCGGGCTCCGCGAAGGCCTCTGGGAGCTGCGTTCGGATTGCAAACTTTATTTGGGGCGTGGAAAGCGTTGCTCATTTCCTCTGCGCAGTATTGCTGGCTCTGCTCTCCCTTTTCTGAGGTGTGGTGGTTAAATAACTCAGCCGGGCCTGCGCCTGTGCGCCGAGCTGAGCCCTGGTGGTAGTTAAATAACTTCCATTTACTAAGCGCCAGCTGTGCGAAAAACGCTACACAGTACCTTAAGCCTCACAGTTCTTGTGAGGTAGGTCTCTGTCCGTCGCTTACAGAGGGAGATTAAGTCACAAACCCGCTCAAAGCCACAGTTTAGTAGTGACAGAAACGTGTAGTACTAACAACCCGAGGAAAGCTGGCGTTTTGTTGGGGCTTTGTTGTTGTTGTTGTTTTTTGGTACCGGGGATCGAACTCGGGTCATTAAGCTGTTTTTTTTAAGTACTGGGAATCGAACTCAGGATCTTGCGCTTGCCAGGCAGGCGCGGCGCCACTGAGCTACATCCCTGGCAATTTGTTTTTAATCAGTAAAGAGGAAAACCTTTTTATTTAGAATTGCACATTTAGCAAATAAAAGTATAGGACATCCAGTTAAATTTCAATTAAGGAGTAACGATGAATGTCTTCTACGTAAAAAACAGTTCTTTTGTTTGTCTGAAATTCAATTTTTAAAAAATTAGTGCATATTAATGATATGAATGAGATTTTGGTGTATTGGTACATGCATATATTTTTTTGGTCCCCATTGCCCTTCTCTACCTTGCCTTCCCTGCCCTTGATCTTCCCCAACTTTTAAAGTCTACCTTTTAGTTTCCTGTCATCTTAAATATAGATTTAGTTTAGTATGATGGTCTCCAGCTCATCCATTTTTACGCAAATGATATGATTTCCTCCTTTTTATGGCTGAATAATACTGCACATTGTCTTTAGTAATTAACACATTGTCTTTACCTGTTTATCAGCCGATGGGCATTTAATCTGTTTCCATAGTTTAGCTATTGTGAATTATGCTGCTATAAACATGGTGCATATATCACTACAGTATTCTTTTATTCTTTTTTTTTTTATTCTTTTATTGTCTTTTATTCTTTCAGTAATTTACTGGGGGTAGTATTGCTCAATCAAGTGGCCTGTCTTTATATTTTTTTTTTTTTTGGTACCGGGGATTGAACTCGGGTCCTTGTGCTTGCGAGGGAGGCGGCAGAACCACTGAGCTAAATCCCCAGCCCTCATTTATA